TTTGCTTCGGTTTTTGTGATCAGATATGAGTCAGTTGTTAGTCATTTGGACAGAGGATGGCAAACCAAAATATCGACAAAATGATACTTTTCACGATTCAGTACTTCTATTCCCCCTTAATACATAAATATTTTTAAAAAATGCATATTTTACGGGGTGCCTGATAATTTCGGCCAAGTCTGTAGGTTACGAGGATCGCTGGAAAGGAAGAGTAAAGTGTTTGGAATGCCGCAAGAGGGAGAATATACCGCAAGAAGGAATAACGTCGTTCTATGGCATTAATATGCATGCACGTCGCCCGTAGTCGAGGACTCCAGGTCAGGGGCTCGACGAAGTTTCACTTGCAAATAGACCGTTCTGTAATAATAATAAATATTGCGGATTGCTGGCCGAAGACGCGAAGAGACGCCGGCGTAACGCCGCTCGAGACGCGAGCTTTCCAATAAACTTCAGGAACGAATCGGCCCGAGCCAGCTCGGACCTCGGTTTACCTAGCCCCGGCTGTAAGATAGAGCTTGTAACGGGAGTATGGATTAAATTAATATGATCTGGTATGCGCTCGCGGATACCGGCTGGCATAGTAATGAAGGGATCGCGAGGGGATTTCGCCTGTACGCCCGGACGGTTTTATCTTTACGGAGCCGTCCAAGAGAATTCGTATTCGCCTTACTTCCCGTTGCTTTCGTCTGTTACGTGGTTCTACGTTACTGACGCGGGAAGCTTCGGTTACACGAGAATTTCGATATATTTTTTTTTTTTAGAAATTTTGCAAGTTTTTAGAAAACCTTGATAGAAGTGTCAGGTAATTTTTAGTTCCTCGGGGTAAAAACAACCCCTTGACTGTTGCACATAGAATACTCACACAGCAGATTTTTAACTGTAGAGGATGTGTGATGTAATTGCTGTTGGATAAAGTTTCATTTTCAGTTCCGAATGTATTATTAATCCGACATAATGCTTTTTTTCAAGTGAGGTTAAGATAAAACTGTTGAGTGGATTATATAACCACAGTGCATAACGTCGTCTGTCGCAACAGGTGGGTCAAAATGACCCGACATTCGGTGCGTTAAGGTTAAAGCTTAATGTGTTTTCTGATATTTTTGTATATCTTGAAAGTTATGTTATAAAAAATGTTTAGAATGCAATTTTAATGGTTTTTTTTCTGCTGTGTAAAACTGTAGAATGAAATTGTAAAAATTATTTTCATTTTATTTTTGAAACAAGAAGTTTTGTTTAAATAATTACGATATTTTGTTGTTCGAAGGTCAGACGAGATATTTTGTTGTTTAAGGAATTTATTTAAACAGCAAAACCTGGGGAAACGGACACTTTTTAATTCCTCTGAGAAAAAGGGATGTATAGAATGTTCTTAGTTTATCGTATATTTTGAAAAATGTAGTAGATATAAAATAATTATTGGAATGAAAATGTAATGACTCTTGATGTTTTATAAAACAGTACAATGAAATTGTAGAAAATGGGTTTATTTATTTATGTAAACAACCGATTTTGTTGAAATAACTAAAATATTTTGTAGTTTAAAATTTAAACGGGAATTTTTGTTGTTTGAAAGATTTATGTAAACAGGAAAACTCGAGATAACAGATACGTTTTTTAGTTCCTCTTGGAATAACGGATACTTTTTTTATTCCTATAGGAAAAACGAATACTTTTTGTAATTCCTCTAGGAAAAGGGATTGTATGGAATATTTTTAACAAGTTTCCTCGCAAATAGCAGGGAACAATTGTAGTTTTAAAATATCCTCTCCGCAACACACACGTGCACACACAAACGATGAGTTTATTCAGTGGCAAGAGGCAGTCAGCTGCGAATGAACTGTAACTTTATGTATATGCGGACGTTTTACGAGAGCTTGCACGAGACTCGGGTACGTAAAAATGCCGAGGAAATCGTCAAGTTGTCGGGGCACGTCGATGCACACGCAATTTGAGCGGAAATCGTGTTCAGTTTGCGTAGGTATATTACGTTAGCGCCGCCAATGGAAAGATGATTATATTGGAGTCTTGTAGAACCTTTGAAAAGATTCTGTTTAAAAATAATTATCATAGGGATGTTATTGAATGTTAAATTATAGAGATTTTTGTCTATCGTAATACAATAATCTGATTTGGAAATTAATCATTTAATATTGAAAAACAATATTCATATATGTTTCAAAAATAGTTCAACAATGTATAATATATTTTGTTCACAGAGACAGATTACAATATTTTTCACATTTCAAAATTAACACCATAAAGTTCGTATGTTTAAATAAATTAAAATGAATATTATTTTTTCAACGCCCTTTTTACACATGTACCACAGAACAGGCGTTACATTTTTTCTCGGCAAAAACGGACCCCACGAGTTACGATGTACACTCACAGAAACGAAGCAGGGGTAGAATCGCGCGAATAAGAACTACGACGGGATCGTTACGTAGGTTACATACAGGGTGAGTCTCGTGACATGACAACTTCGAATGATTCGTATTAAAAAAAAGTGTTACAAACAAAAGTTGCATGGTTTCCAGGGGACATACAGTACTTTAGTCGATTTGTTGTTTGCTTTTTTATCAAGATATGAAGGTTAAATGATATTTCCTTAATGTTTCTTTGGTTTAGAAGAAAAAACATTGTTTGTTCTGACTTGCTTGCACAATTCGTCTCAGTATCCGTCAAAAGATGGGCGTAAAAAGTTACAAGTTTTTCTACAAAAAACTGAACGTAAGCTTAAAAACTCTGAAAGAAAAGGGTCGACAAAAAATTCTTGGTACAATCATCTTAAAGCTTTCCTTGAATCATGTTATATTAGCCAAAAAAGTTTTCGACAGAACAGTTAACTGTACAATAATTTAAGCTGATCACTTTTTATGATCCACCCTGTATACACACACACACACACAAGTAGTACAATCATCTTAAAGTTCTCTTTGAATCATGGTATATTAGCCATAAAATTTTTGATCAAACTGCTACCAGTAAAATAAGTTGATCACGTTTCGTGGTCCACCCTGTATACACACATAGTAGGAGAGAGTTTGGCGTGCGCGCGCGCGTACGAGATGGAACAGACAGAGAATAGGAGGTGTGCAGTTCCCGTGTCTCGGTCGTTTGCACTATCGTAAGTTTATGTCGTTGGTTCGCGGGGCTAACCTCTGCCAACCTCTCGCCCTTTTATACGACACGATAGTTTCATCGCGAAACTGCCACCGTTCACATCTGTTGCCTTTCCCATTACCGTACGAACATACACCAGCCCCCTATTCGCCGCCCGGTAAACTGAAGCACGCTCTCAATTCCGCCCATCTCTCTTTCACGTGCCTCGTCTTCTTCGCGACCTTCCAGCCACTGTTCGCGTTATTCCCCGCGACAAGGATTAAAGGGGTCTTCTAGCCAAAACCTTCTAAAAATCGATTTTTATTCGAAATATATTTTTTTGAAAGTATGCTTGCGGAAGGATTTGTCTGAAATCGAAATATTAACGATGTAGATGGTTAAGGAAGACGGCGCACAGTCCACAACGTGCAAGTACTAAGCTTTAAGGTGGTTCGTGCCAAATTCGAAAGACTAGATAATTAAATAAAATTCATACAGATTGTTAGAACGAAATAGGGACACTCGAAAAATTTGAGGCTAGGTCGTGATGAAATAAATAAGAAAAAGCTTGTTAAAGATTGAGTTTTTAATACAGTTCTTATGGCAGCCTTACGATTTCTTACCGGAAGTATAATCTTTTCTTTTCGCAGAAGATGGAACTTTTAACCAAAAACTAGGTACTGAAAGTATAATGAAGTATAATAAATATTCTTTAAATATAAATAAATATGCATGTCAAAGGCAGATATCAACAAATGTTATTTATAGTTTCTTCGTAAAAAAAGTAAAGAAAAATTAGAAAATGGCCTTCTAGACTGGAAAACCTAGAACAGTATTGTTCACCTTCTCGATCGATCCAGCCAGGTGTGTACAAACATACGTAGGTTATATGGTGGACGATACTGGACGCGGTTCCGATCGGAAAATCGACAATTCCGCGGGAATTATTGGCGACCTTTCGACTCGAAATTGGAAATGGTTGCAATTAGAGATGGTCGCCGATAGCGTCGTGCCTTGGTGGTTTGCGCGCCTATTATCTGATTGGGTATCTTCTTCGAAGGGATAGTTCACCGGTATGATGCCACATATGTATGAAATCGGATCTTGCAATTTATGGAGGTAGTAAATATCGTTCCATAAAGATTGCAATATACAAGAATCTTTAATTTACATACAGGAGAACAAAAAAAAACTACTTGTATTTTGAGCTAGAGTATAAGAAGAGAAAGTATTTTGTTTTTATTAATTCTGATCATTGTCAAACAAATCTTTTGAATCGTATTAAGTTTAGTAGTTACATTACACTGTAACTAATATGTTCGTGTGATTGTCTGTTTTGAAAGATCTTCTTAGTATTAGGTGTACCAATCAGTAATCTATGATGTTTTGTTAAATTCACTATTTATTTGATAAGAAATCAGATGCCACTGCTAATTCAGGGAAATTTGTCCTCGTTGTTCGAGATACACCGCTGTTTCTAAAGAAGAAAGCAGCAAAAACATATTTTGAAATTAAATTATCTTAGTAGCTTATTAAAAAGAAATAGTGGATCATTTATTGGTATACATGATACATGACACAAATATTTATTAGTTAAAGAATATATAAAAATTCTATTTTCTTGATAGTTCTCTAAAAATCTACTCTAAAAAGATCAATATTAACAGAAAGTCTGAATAATACTGAATCTATAGTTATCGGAGGAAAGTCTAATTAAACTTACTTATTATGAATTCACTTCTTATATTCATTTTTGTGGTGTATACAGGGTTAGAGAAAATTATGTTAAACGCCTGCATGGAAATGAGTTACTTAGAGCTTACATGATCAAATGTAATACGATATTGATGAACGTCTTTCCCATATAAGTGTTAACATAATTTATCCGATCTTTACAGGGTTCCTTCAATTTAAATGTCAAAACTGCGGAAGTGTATGGGGGACCAATGAACTAAGGAAAAAAGGCTTCGATTCAAACTGAATTTAGTAAACATGTATATTACTCGTTTTCTTTGACTCGACGTGAAATACTATTCCGCTGGTATTAACATTTAAGATTCACAATACATTTAAAATTGCCATAAGAATAAAATTCCTTTTGTACCTGGGAAAATATTAACGATATACCAATTCTTGATAGTGAATTCGTAAAAAAATCGTATGGCAAGGGGTTAAATTCGGGACACCCGGTATACAAACAAAACGCACACTCATCAATGTTCATAAATATTCAATCTCTCCACAGTACAAAGCACATTCCTACGTTACAACATTCCCAATTAGTTACGCGGACACGTAAAATACCTACCTACGGGGAAAGAAAATATAAATAGTAACGCGATGCACCGTACGTCTCGAGTAACAGTTGTTGACTGAATACTTATAAATACCTGAATCGTGGCAGAACATCCGACGAAGATGGGATAGGCCAGACTGAAATGTTTGCCAAGAACTCGGCAATGTTTGACGATTAAATAACGTTCCCTACGATAGTATGTACACGGGATCATCGATTGCACGGTCACATCCGTGGATCGAGACGCGCGTGTGCGGTATACGTGTGACACAATTCCCAAACTGTTGTGTGCCCCAGAAAAATTCAATTGTCCGTCAGAACAGGAAGTAAAACTGATCGTTCCCTTTAAATAACCCACTCCTGTCTCGAACGAGTCGCGAGCGAGCGCATCACAACGGGCGAAAGGGGTGGCTTACCTCGAGCAACGAGGAAGACAGCAGAGAAGAACCAGGTCCCTAAACTCCTTCGTGGACGCGTTCCCTTCGACAAACGTATCTTCTCACAGTTCGATCTGGTCAGACCGGTGTCACGTGCACCCTTAGACGAAAGAATTTCTCCTGCTGTTCGCCACCCCTGTGAAGACCCCCCCGACGAATCTCCCCGAGGGAGAGACCCCCAGCGAGTTAAGTCTCCGTCCTTTTCCCACTGATCGTCCACGGGAGACCCCCCCTGGACCATACGATGACCAATGGAACGTTTCATCTGGAATCCGTCACAGGAAAAATTCCTCGTTTCCAACCAATCGCGTCCCGTTGAGACCCGTTCCAATGTTTCCGTCGATCCGTTGGGAGGATGGCCTTGAAAAATCGCAAAACACGTGGCCGTGTGCGTGTGTATATTCTCCTTTTCGAATTTTATCGTCTTGATGTTTAAACTCGAAAATCGGGACTGGCAGCTGTACAGCTCGCCACGCTTCGTACCTTTTTCCTTGTCGCGTTCCTTTTCATTTCTTCGTTTTTTATTCTCGTTGTCCTGGTCGATCTGTTTTCGACTATCTTCGTCGATCTTGGGCCAGAAACACGTTCGTGAACGCGGTTACGTTGCTGACTTTTAAAGAGACCATGACGCTTCCTGCCTCTGCTCTTCCGCGATTCATCGCTGGAGATTTAAATTTTAAACCGAAACGAACATGCTAATGCCCCCCCCCACTCCCTTCCGTTCTGGCCACGTCGTGTTTCGCCCTCGTTCGATTCGCGCGTTCTTTCTCTAGGTCACGGAGGACCGTTAGTATTCAAACGGGTGGCTCTCCCGTTTGGAGAACACGTATTCGTCGTTTCTTCGTTTTCTGGACGAGAGAGTGTCCCGTGAATTCACATCGGGCCGTGTACTCGCGGAATTTATCGACGGGGAATTGCGACCCGTGTGCCGTGCTCGGAAAATGGTAATCTTCGATTCGTAACTGTTGTGTCGATTTTCCGGTTTTTCACGGTACTTTAGAGTCTTGAAGAATTTTCGTGGGTTCAATAACTCGATGCACAAAACGTCGAATTAATGAATAATATTGCTGAGCTACAGAAGTATTCTTGAAATTAATTTAAGAAAAAAAGGTGTAACGAGATATTATACGATTAATTTTAACCTTACCTTTGATACCCAGAATGACAGGAGGAATCAATTTATGCGATTAAAAAATCGTAATATTTTATTTAACCCTCACCCATCCTTCATTTTCCCTACTTAATTTGCCTCTAAACGTCAGATTGCGATAAATAATTAAATTTATAAATTCCCTAAAACAAAAGTCACGGAAGAATAGCATCACTTAGGCAAGAAATGTGTCAAATAGACACTACGAACGGTAACAAACTCGAATTTCACAGTGTATCCGGGTCACACAGGAACTCTCTCAACGTTAAACATTCAAAAATCACAAATCCATGATAAAAGTTGAGATCAAGCAACGAAGCCAGCTCTCCCAATTTTATTTCGTCGGCTACCGCGCAGCTAATTAATTTCCGAAGTTGTACGTCTGGGATCGCGTTGGAGGTGGCCGACAAAGAAGGATTTCCGAAGCAGCAGCAGCCGTGCTTCTTCGATCGATTATCCAAGGGATAAGAAGGGTCGAGGGAGGAGGAGAGAGAGAGAGAGAGAGGACGGCTGGTATACACGGGGAATGATCGTTAATGGAAGATGTAATTGGAAAATACTTGGCGCGCCTCCGTTCAATTCGCCTCCGTGTTTGTTTGCGATACCGTGCCAAGCCGCGGCGAGTTATTGCAAGAATCCTGCTACTACCCGCCCGCCATAATCCTGCACGCTCTATAAACTTCCTGTTCCTGCCTCTCGGGGTATCGTTCTCCACGCTTTTACGTCGTCGATGTCGTCGTCTGCACGGGATCGATCGATCGGCCGCGAACCGGATACCTGACAGGGCCGATCTGCCGCGCGGAATATGCGCGCTCCCGTGGCCCTTGAAAAAAATATTATTCCCTTCCTTCCGCCTCGCGTGTCTTCCGTGGCAGGATAAACCTTTGACGAACAGGAACCGTCGTATATCCACGATATTTCTCTCGGTTCGCGATCGATGTAAGGCGAACGGGATACACGGTGTCACCGAGGTCTTCGATTGTACGGAAAATTGTGTTTTATTTCGAGGGAATTTTCATAGCGAAATGTTGAGTAGATTTTCGACTACGAGAATTCTTGTGCGGGGCAATTTCAAATGTTCAGCGACGCTCAGGGAAGTGTAATAGATGGGTAGAAAGATGTGAAATCTGGTGCATTAGCAATTTCTTTTTGTAAGTATTGATGGCTTTAATTGTTAAATTATTGGAAATGATTATTTTTTATGGGGAAATAGAGGGATTACAGGAATTATGTAAATTGTGAAATATGGATTATATTCTTTCTTAAGTAGGTGTGATATATCCTGTGAATATATTTTAAATATTTTATTTTTAATTAATAGGTACTTAAAGAAATACCTGTTTATTTCGATATTTTCTTACATGAAAATGCGAAACAACTAATAAGTAATAATATTTGTGTATTGTAAGATTCGTAATAAATAATAAGGTTTTCATCTCACCAATGAAGAGTTAAACTAGTGGTAATCATTTACATCATCAGTTTTCATTCCTTCAATCTAAAATTGAATATATAGATAAAGGACATATGAATTACCTACGAATATTTTGTAGACTTCTCAACTTTATATTTCTATGCGTCGTACCAAACTGATAAATATCACGTCACCCTTAGGCATAGTCAACTGCTAATCCTTCCTAATTCTTGCCCTATCCCTATAGCGATATATAATATTTTATCATAACATTTAAGATAGAAACAAATACTATCATGTTGCATACATATTTACGTATATATATTTGTAAACAGCATGACGTGATTATAAATTGTTTCCAGAAAATTTCAAGCAATATAAATACGTCAGTTCACCTTATACAAATGTCACGTGAAATCATGTAATAACGTGCCATTTTACGTGACGTGATATTAATGTGTTTCTACCTTTAGTTTCACGACCGTAAAAATCACGACTTACTGTCATGTGAAAACGTACCTTAATTCAAAGTCGAAAACCTTCAGTCCAAATCTATATACATATATGAATCGCTACAATGAAGTAATCCGAAAATCCCCGAACAAAGAAGACTATAATCGATTAATCTCGATACAATAGCGAGAAAATTCGCGTTTAAACCTATTCAGTGAAACCAGGAAAACGCCAAAAAATTTCGATTTCCTCCACGAAGCTCATTCCCATTACAGCCCAAGTCCCTATTACCCTACCGAACATGTTAAACCGCTCTCGAAACCCATTATTTTTCGAAACTACGTCGATCCACACGGTTAATCGAGAACTTGCACGATCCACATCTGAACACATTTCCATTGACAATCACCACAAAACGAAATTCTCCAATTATTCGATTTATCTACCTGTGGCCCCATTGTCTTCCACCAATTACGAGTCCGAGCCAGGAGGAATCATATTGCGGCTTCGTGACGCTCCATCGACAAGAGGAAAGAGCTCGAAGACGGATTCGATTTCTCGGTGGGGTGGGATGGTCAGAGTTTGATATCTAAAGAGCAAACGATCTTCAGAGACGGATACATAATTGGGAAGAGATCGTCGCGATTGGGGAACCGGGGAAAGGAGATACAGAAGCAGCAGGGGCATGGGTGAGTCGCACGTGGAGCTACAAAGCACGTCGAGAATACTCTTGAAAGTGAATACTGGTATCGAATTGCAGGTACACTCAGGCCGTGTCTCTAGTTGTTCAAAGTGTGCATAACAGGCCATGGGGTAAGGGTAGGAACTAATTGGCAGGTTGCTGCTCTTAAGAACATAAATACGAGGCGAGAGGATCGAGAACCCGCTAGATGTCTAGTGGATCAGTAGGGGTGGCGGAGGCTTTCAGAAACGACGACGGAATAGAAGGCTTCCGGGGGGAGTTTCGTTGCCCGCGGATGACTAAGTGCCTCGACTTTGAGCCCGTGAAATTTTTGTCGGACCGACGGAGAATGCGAATATTGGGATAACGGGGATGCGGACGTATCGATTTGAAGGATACTCGAAGATAGAACGTCCTGGATGAAAGTTTAGTTTGATTAAGAGCGTCGCTTCTGAAGCTTGCTTTTATCTTTATGGAATCACTTTCTTTTTGTTCGGTTGCATTTACCGCGTTTGTTACTGGC